AGACGCGCGCGTCTGCGCCGTGCGGCTCGAGGCGGCCGGCACGCTCGCGCTCCGCGTCGTCACGCCCGCGGCGAGCATCAGGACGTTCTTCCCGGCCCTCGAGGCGCCGGAGGCGTTCCGCGCGCCCGACCGCGGCGCCGTCGTCTGCGTCCACGTCAAGTCGCGGCAGCTCGCCGCGGGCCTCGGCGGCTACCACGTCGACCACGAGTCCATCGTTTGCATCCCCCACGAGCGCCACGCGCTCCTCTTCTACGTCACCCTCCACGACGGTCTCGGCCACCTCAGCTTCTACGTGCCCGTCGTCGACGACGACGACGCCGAGGACGACGCGCCCGCCCCGCCGCCGCGATCTGAAGTCGCCGCCTAGAGTCCTCTGTCCGGCGACTTCGCGTGGCTGAACCAACGCAAAGCTACTCGTGTGCAGAGCAAAAGGCCGAACTAAAGGGACACTGCGACGAGTCGAGGTAGGCCCATTCCGAATAGGCGGTGTCTTCGGACGACGCTTGCAAACGCGCAGACGGACTCCGCGTCAGTGGCGGAAGCGAGCTGTGAAGTTCACTTTTGGACGGCCTGAGAAATCATTAGGCAAATGTTTGCAAGCGACAGCGATGCCGTCGAGCATGCACGACACGGCCGGCTGGCCGATCTCGGCCTGGCATCGTCGGCGCCCTCCTCGGTCCAGGTAGCTAGGCGGCCCGGCGGGGTCGCGCGCGCGGGGATCCCGGTTCTGTGTGGCTCGCAGGGGCTCCGCGAGCGTCGGTAACCTCCGGCGGTCGTCGCCTGGGTCGTCGTCGATGGCGGTCGCCGGGCTGCTATGTCGGTGGTATGCGCCTGCTATGCTGGTCTTATGCGGCCGGGCCGCCTGGTGGCTGCTATGCTGGTGGTATGCGCCTGCTATGCGCCTGCTATGCGCCTGTTATGCGCCTGCCATGCTGGTCTTATGCGCCTGCTATGCGCCTCGCAACATCACGATGATGGGCAGTAAGAAATGACTATAACTTAGCTTAATCCTAGTAGTACCAGCGAAGTTCCGAACGTTACTAGCAGCCAATAGCATTGGCATGACAACATGCGGGTCCAGCGACCAAAACATCCCCACCCCAACCAAACCTATAGCTAATCCCTTACTTCCCTCAGGCTTCTTCCTCCGCTGCGTGCATGATGTCGAGCGGTGGTTCACACTGCGGGCCCTCGGATGCCACAAGACTTTCGAGAGAGGAGCAAGAGGCATGCACAAAATACGATAACTAATGTCATGATGATCTGAGATGAGTGCTCTGAGAATGGGGTTAGGTAGTGGTAGTGGTAGTGGGGGTAGTACCCCTGGAGCCGCTGGAGACCACTCGATTCCACCGGAAATATGCTTGTTTTGGCTCTATCGGCCAGTTTGGATCTCGAACTCGAGCAAACTAGTGGTTTTGACGCTCAATCATAAATTTCGACCTAGTGGAGGTCGTGGCCGAGCAGCCCTCCAGCTGCCGATTGGCCAGAACGGGTGGTTCACAGGCTTCGTTGACCCTATGTTGCAGCTGTTTTGACCACTCATTTTGAGCAGGTCGCGACTCAGGGGTAGTTAGTTAGTACTACATGCTGTCTGAGGGTAGTCTACCGCCTACCTCTTGGAGAGGAGATTAAAGACCCCCGCCGCCGCCAGGCTGTGGTGCTGTGTGAGGAGGGAGGG